GATTGGCCAGTGTTTTTCGTTAATAATTCAAAACTGAAGCTTCAAACAACATTTTGGTAAAGGAAACAGTTGTTCAGAGTCACCCCAGTAACCCGCTATTTCCGGGTGTTCGAGGAGTTACGGGACACCCTGTATGTATATAAGTATTAGCTTATATGATTGCTTTTTATTTAAACTGTAACAGAAACAAATATATTTGAAGCATTTAAATAGATTCTATTTAACAAATAATTTTCATTTAAATATCCATTTTACGTACATAACTATTGATTCTCAAATAAAGGAAAGTGTAACATATGTAGGTACTTACATTATATTTTTATAAGATAAATCAAAAGTGAATCGTTAAATCAGTTGTACTTTAAATGAAAGAAACTGTGTAAAGAATTCTTGTATAAATAAAATTCTGATAACTGTAACAATTCTTCACAATTAAGTGTACCGAATACTCAACACACTCACACACACGTAGAAAATTCAACCTCTATATACAGCAACGAAAGGGTTAAAAATTTCAAATATCCACTTAACCCTCTGTAACCCGATGTTTTTTCGTCCACAAGAAGAAAAATTACAGTTTCAAAAATTTGAAGAAGTAAGAATTAATAATTATTATAAAAAGATTGATGGGCAATAATATAAGAGTGCAACAATATAATGCAACAGTATAGCAATAAACATATAAAATGAGATTTATAAAATATGGATACGTGTCTTCCAAGTCACATGGCATTGTAAATGATTAGGTAATTAACACATTGTGGACGGGAAATGTGAATCGGCGACTTTTGTTTTTCAAGAGTTGGCGATTCACGTTTTCCATAATTCGTGGCAAATGTTTTGACACATATCGTACCAAAAAACATTACTAGCATTATCTTTAAGTGTATTCATAAGTTTTTTATATGTTATAAATTTTTAACACTCTTTTGAACATACTCGTGCATGTATCACTTACCTTTCGATAATGCGCGGGAACTGAGGCTATAGGCATGCGACAACGTAGCATCAGCAATGTGTTAATTAATAGGTAATTCAACGTCAAAAACCAGCATCATCTTGCTTTTTTTTTATAATTTATACTGATTGTTCGGTTGTGTTGCAGTTGCAGAACTTGAAGGTGGCGCACACTCGGACGAGACGAATAGTGGCGGTGACAACAGCAACGCTGGCAGTGTATCCGGAGGTACGGATGACGATCAGGCTCGCCTCCGCTTAAAAAGGAAGCTTCAAAGGAATCGTACAAGCTTCAGTAACGAACAGATCGACGCTCTCGAGAAGGAATTCGAGAGAACGCATTATCCGGATGTTTTCGCCAGAGAGAGATTGGCCGGAAAGATCGGTCTACCGGAAGCTCGAATACAGGTGGCTATATTTTGTACACATATATGTACATCTATTATTTCAGGTTTTAATAATTGAGTTAAACATTTCGTGTATTCTTGTATTCGTTTAAAAATTCATGGGTGCATCACCCTTTGTTAACCCCTTGACTTATAGCAACAAGTTAGACTGGTCGCAGAGATTCTGGTCAAGATGTAACAAAAGCAGTTACATTAGTAAGAGAAATTAATTTTAATCCTATCTTTCGTTTCAATTTGTAAGAATATATAACTGTATAATAGATTTTATTACCGGATATAGTAGTAAAACTGACGCTTAAGTAGATTGTCAAAAGAAAAAATCATAGGTTAAGGGGTTAAGTATCCATTAGTCTAAATAAGTATGTGTACGGATCGAAAAGTTTGAGCTAGTATTTGGTATTTGATTTCAGTGACACAAAATAATAGAAATATTAGGATAAAAATTGAACTCTTTAATATAATAAAATTGTAACAGTACGAAAAATTATTAGTTTCTGAACGGAAAAATGAAACACTTCAGAAATGATTAACTGAGAAACCCACGTTTATTAAGTTTTCCATTTTCTTTTGCAATATTCATTAACCGTCTAAATTTTCATTAAAACTTACCTTACTATAAACTTTATAATCATAATGAATTTCAATTCTTCGTTGTTACTGAATCACTCGCACAAAAAATTATAAATTTATTATAGCTAGAAACCGATCTGACTCTCGTCGACCTTAACTCAAATCATGTAAGATTTTAAAAGTCGAATATACTTGATATTTAAACTACTGCACCTAAAATTTATCTTAATTCAACA